TACTACTAGGATCAAGAAGCTACTAGGGGCTCCTGGCATCGCTACTAAGGACGCTACTATAGTAGCTCCTGGCCGTACTACTACAAGCAAGAAGCTACTAGGGGCTCCTGGCATCCCTACTAGGAGCAAGGACGCTACTAGGGGCTCCTGGCCTTACTACTCGGAGCAAGAGGTAGTAGGGGCTCCTGGCATCGCTACTAGGAGCAAGGACGCTACTAGGGGTCCTAGGAGCAAGGACGCTACTAGGTACTAGGGGCTCCTGCCCGTACTACTAGGATCAAGAAGCTACTAGGGGCTCCTGGCATCGCCACTAGGAGCAAGGACGCTACTAGGGCCTTTCTGAGTCTTCCAGGAACGAAGAACCAAAGTGTGTCAAACCATCTGACGATAGGAGCAGCTCCTGACCGAGTTGCAGCCTGCGTTGACAGAGCTCCTGGGAATCTCTGAAGTCCACGGAGTCCACAGCGGTCCCTCGGGTCCCGTCTTGAGCCATTTCGGCATTCGGCGACTCGGTTCCCAAAGCATTTGCTTCGTGTGAATATTTCTTACTAACAGCGCTGGCCACCAACCTAATAGCGATGGCCTCCAACCTAAAAAAACGATGGCCTCCCACCTAATAGCGATGGCCTCCAACCTAATAGCGATGGCCTTCAACCTAATCGCGATGGCCTCCAACCAAATAGCGATGGCCTCCAACCTAATAGCGACGGCTTCCAACCTAATAGTGATGGCCTCCAACCTAGTAGCGATTGCCTCCAACCTAATAGCGGTGCCCTCCAACCTAATAACGATGGCCACCAACCTAATAGCGATGGCCACCAACCTAATAGCAATGGCCTCCAACCTAATAGCGATGGCCTCCAACCTAATAGCGATGGCCACCAACCTAATAGCGATGCCACAAACCTAATAGCGATGTCCTCCAACGTAATAGCGAAGGCTTCAATGGCCTCCAACCTAATAGCGATGGCAACCAACCTAATAGCGATGGCCTCTAGCCTAGAAGCGATTGCCTCCAACCTAATAGCGATGGCCACCAACCTACTAGCGATGGCCTCCAACCTGATAGCGATGGCCGCCAACCTAATAGCGATGGCCTCCAACCTAATAGCGATGGCCACCAACCTGATGGCGATGGCCTCCAACCCAATATAGAGATGGCCTCCAACCTAATAGCGATGGCCTCCAACCTAATAGCGATGG